CTGGGAGTTCTGGACAGCTGTTTCGTTCGGGACTCTTCATTAGTACCCGCCCACAGGGACTCGAACTCAGGACCTTCTGGTTACAAGGCGAGCTCGTAGACTATTAAGCTACTGGGACTCGATCCAAAGGCCAGCCCATGAATTCTAACTTCTGCCAATTCACGAAATAGCACGACCGCTAGGACGAAACAGCTGTTCAATACATATATATATATATATTCTTAACTGATATATTTCAGTTAATACTGAATACACAGTAACAATGACAGTGGTTTGATAAGCGTCACATAGAGATGCGAAACATTTATTTCCCGATATGAATTTAAAACAAGCCACAAAAGGTGATTAATAAAGCAGGATTTAAAGAATTCATCAAATCTCGGTAGAATTCTTCCTCAGCTGAGTACTCTACACACAAGGAGACATCGAATCGTACGTCTCCTACACACAGCTCACGCAGTTGCAATAAGATCGACTAAACTGGAACTTTGTATCCAGAAAGAACACGTCCAGACACTGTTCCTACTGTGGCCAAACTTGGAGTGATGATTTTTCTTCTCACCAAGAGTGCTTCTTCCCCCTAACCCTCTTGGTTTTTTTTTCCTTCTTTGCTTATTATTACAATTATTATTACTATACGTCATTATTTATGCCCTTCATGCAAACGTTCTCTCAATACCATCGAATTCTCCATTTATACTATGCGGACTTATTATTACTGATATTATCTATTTTCTCAATATATGCCTCCACCTGTTTCATTTCACACATTCATTATTTCATTATGAACCTCACATTGCAGTCTTACTATCTCCTGTTTAATACAGACCACTTTGTACTAGCCACTCACTCACCTGACACCTTTTATAACCTTGAACTGACTTGTCAATTTTCCTACCCCACACTCTAGAAATCCATTGTAATCAATTTCAGCCTAGCACGTTTGTCACACAAATACGACTATTTATTTTGATGCCACATAACTACTAATCTTTTATTCTACGTTAAAAATGTATCCGCCGCATAACTGGTTGTCATTATTGTAACGACAAGAAATAATGTTATAATTTATAATTGTAAGAACCTGAAGATGAGAAATTATTGAAAAGAATATTCTTCGTTCAGATTGGCTTTTAATTCATGAAATGGTCTGTGAAAGTAAATCAAAAGCTGAAGACCTATTGACAGAATACAACTCATAGCATACGAATCTTAACTTCATAACAGAACACAATGAAAATGATACTATTAAATTCCTAAGATGTTTCTCTACTGAAAAGGATCAATGCCACAGCGGAAAGATCTATATTTAGAAAGACCTCGTGGACGTGAGAGTACATAAATTATGAAACTTTTGTTCTTATCCAGTACAGAAAGAAAATAGTCAATATACTGTTTAACAGAACACAAAAAATTTGTTTTGACAGTACGATTGAAAATGCAATAAAGGCTCTGGTTGGAGGATTTCAGAATGAGCTGGCATCAGTAAGAGAACCATTGGAAAAACACATGGGAGTACTGGACATCTGTTTTGCCCTAGTTTGGAACTCTTCAGTAGTACACAACCACCAGAAGGGTTCGAACCCAGGACCTTCTGGTTACAAAGCGGGTGAGCTCGCAGACCATTAAGCCACTGAGACCCGATCCAGTAGCCCAAAAATTCTAACTTCTGCCGATTCATGACATAGCGCGACCACTTCACGCTACGGGCCGTTGGATCGGGCCCCAGTGGCTTAATCGTCTACGAGCTCGCCCGCCTTGTAACCAGAAGGTCCTGGGTTCGAACCCTTCTGGTGGTTGTGTACTACTGGAGAGTCCCAAACTAGGACGAAACAGCCGTCCAGTACTCCCGTGTGTTTTTCCAATGGTTCTCTAACTGACGTCAACACATGACGAAATCCTCCAATCCATCAAACAAAATCCCTACAAAAAAACCAATACTTAAGAATCGATATCCAGAGAAGTTCATTGATAAATAAATACTCTAAGGAAATGAGCCCTAGTAAAACTATCCAAACAGCTCCAAAAAAATCTGTATATATCAGTTTGCTGTTCAAAAAAGATGATGTACACAAAGGAGTTAAACACAGACTTGATTAAGTTAACAAAAGAACGTGAAACTCGTCTTCCTTAACACCACCAAGCGAGTGCTTTAGCAATCTGAGAAAGACCAGTCGCCAATCCTAGACACTTCAAACTGCCAATATCAGAAGAGCGATTGTCTACTCGCATGATCGAGCATTTGCCAAGGTGGTTGAAAACAGCTGAAGTCAAAGTCCCAGAAAGGTCAGTGACAAAATAACTTGCAAACTACAGACATGATATTGATGCTGTCAAGTCATTCACTGTTGTCAACAGACAAACAAACAGGAAGATGCTTGCAATTTTGGATGCTTGTGAAATAACACTTTATAAACCAGGTCTCTGTGTACAGAAGGAAGTGGTTGTCACTGTGAATCCAACATGGTAATACATTTTACACATTACCTGTTATTATTACTAATTTTTTTTCGACCCCTTATTATTACTATTTCTGATTCATTAAAAACTATATAATATCACTATCATTCTCTTAACTCGTTTTAACATTTATATTCGATGGTTGGAGGCAATCGACAAGAATCCTTAGACCCCAATTTTGTGCCAGTTGGCACTCACCAGTCAGCAAGGCGTATCTGCAGCCTTGAAGGAACTCATGTCCTTTCTGAGATTCAAACCCGCTTCATCCACAGTTCAGCAATCATAGACGTTACTACTGAGGTATTCGCGTTTGCGATTGATCTCCTGTAGGACTGTATTGGAGACTTTGATTGGACACCCTATCGTGAAATCTAGTTGCAAGGCTTCCTGCTAAATGCCTCCAACCGTCCTATATCAACAATTCAAAGTGCAGTGTGATGGTGAGCCACCTAGACTGTGGGCCATATTGAAAACTTGACTAATAGAATTCAGTCTGCACCATACAAAGGACTAGACGCACTCTACGCTAATCACTGACTAGTGTCCAGGCGTTTAAATATCTTAACGATTATTATTGATTATTATAATTGTTACTATTATTAGTATTACTATTATTACCAATATTATTTAGTTTGCAATCCTTCATATATTCAAGTTCTTTTACTCACTGATAACTATTTGCTTATTGAAGTGATTCAATTGAACTGTAATGCATGACTATCCTGTGCGTTGAGTATCCAGCTGAAGAGTCCTACTGAAATCTGATGAATTCATTAAACCCTGGTATTGTTAACACCTTGTGTTGCTTGTTGTTCACAGGGATATCTGAAGCTCTATAAAAAGTCTGTTAAAATGACCTTTAGATAAATGAAAACCGACAGCAGCCAAAGAATGTGCACACCTGTGAAAAAGATCAAACTGGTTAGTCAAAGTGATTCGTTAATATGGCAGTCATTAATTTGATTGCCTCTGCGCCATTTTTGAGAGATTGTTGCTGGGTATGGCTGTGATTCTTCATATTGGCCCACTGCTTACTCCAGCGTTGATTCCACTTCACAAGGATGCTGGTACAAAGATAACAGTGGTGCATGAGATCCTTGTATTCCACAGTCATTCACTAGAATACATCGTGGCGTGTACTACTGATAAATCTTAACAGTAGTACATAAATTTGAAGAGATGTTCATCCACATAAAATAACATCAAATAGCAGGGAAATAGATTTGATGTCAGAAAAAGGAAATGATACAGCCTTTCAGAGATACATGGGAGACGTGAAAAGAACACAAAGGAGCACAATATGAAGGAAAGCAAGAAGTAGCAAGCACAACACGGTCGGTCGGTCGGTTTCCGACATAGAACTTTGCACATATGTGCGGCAGTTCAAGTCGCCACCATCTATGTAGCACGCAAAGCAAGAGAAGGAAGTAGAAGAAATGCATAATATAGACAGTAAACAGAGGTGTGAGACAAAGGAATAGTAATAACGGAGAACAAAAGTTTAATTGGAAATCATAAGTCACAAGGAGTGGATGCATCTGCGCCACTGAGAACGATGAGTTTGAGCCATGTCACCAATTGTTTCCAACCATTGGTTTTTACCATCCCGAGGGCCCCAACCAGGAAGTCTACATCTTCCTACGTGGCTTAGATTAACTGTTGTGGATTTCATTGATTGGTGCCATGTTTTGGTTTGACCGCCGCTAACTCTTTTCCAGCCTGACCCTATATCAGCTAACATTGCCCGTCGAGGAAGACGATGACTAGGCATACGTAGCACATGTCCTAACCATCTCAGTCGATGTAATTTCACAGTCTCGTCGATTGATTTCCCCGCCTTACCTAGCACTCGACGCCTAACCTCAATATTGCTCACCTTATTATACCACTTCACGCGGGAGATAGAACGCAGACACCTATGATCGAAGACAGCTAATCTTTTCATGTCTTCTGCTCTCAATGGCCAGGTCTCACAGCCATAAAGGAGGACGGAGCGGACTGTTGAGCAGTACAGTCCGCTCCGTCCTCCAAGCACAACACGGAAGATTTGTGCAAAATTGGTGCCCAACCTTCCCTCTTTACCAGTCTTATTACTGGCTTAGCGAGGTAAGGCAGTGTGTACCGGCTAGGGATCGAACCCCGGACCACATGAGGCGTGGTCGTCGAGCATTCCTACCGCTGTGCCACCGACGCACCTTCTATCGTTAACAACATGAAACTGTGTATGCTGGCTAAAATGTGCCAATTTCGTTTTTTCAATACATAACCTTCCATTCTTTTTGAAATTTTCGATAATTATCAAGTCGAAATAATTATGTAAAACACCAATATACTACTTTTTGACTAAAATTAGGAGATTCAATTAACATTTCCTACAACTGAAGCTTAACTAGCGAGGTTCAGTCACTAAAGGTTCAAAACTCTTTGGCACAAATGCCAGTTTATGGTCAACAACATGAAAATGCACATGAACGATAGGCTTAATGATAAATTATAGTGTTCGAATCCCAGAAGCACAACAACAATAAATATAAGCTAACCTTTCCTCTTTGTAGACCCAATGTCACTTGACCTACTGTATGAGCAGCTCTATCCAGCAAATCAACAACTTCAGCATGTGTTGCACCGATAACACGTACACCATCGATTGAGATCAATTTGTCGCCTGTGCGTACGACACCACTCAATTGAGCTGAACCGCCTAAAAGCATTGCACCTATAGATACCTATATAGAGCAAAAAACGAGTGAAAATATTTAAAAAAAGCTTAATAACGGTGTATATCATGGAATATACGCAATTAGATCATAGGAAATATGAAAAAGACGGTTGCAGCGAAAAAAGGTTTCCATACCACCAGTTTCCCTATATTAGTCTGAATAAAGGAAGAATGACCATATTTGCAGGATAATACGAGCTTGTTTTATTTCCTGGATTATCTCCAACTGCCTACATCATAAATAAATCAATTACATGTTCTTTGAAGAGTTGATCACGGATTGATATCAGTTAGAGAAGCATTGAAAACCACGTAGAACTGGAGAACCAGCTGTTTCATCCTAGTTTGAGAATCATCGGCAGTACGTAAGCCAGGGTTCGAACCCAGGAGACTCCGAATACAAGGCAAGCTGCTCGTATACAATTCAGCCACTGGGACCCGATTCAATGGCTCATGAATTTTAACCGGAAGGTCCGGGGTTCAAACCCTGGCAGTGGGTGCGTACTGCCGACGATTCCCAAACTAGGATGTAACAGCTATCCAATACTCCTTGCTGGTTTTCAATGGTACTCTAACTGATATCAATCCGTGATCAACTCGTAATAGAACAACTAATCTTTACAAACAATCTGTCTGTCTGTTTTCGACCTAGAACTTTATTTTTTTGATTATAGCTTGATTCCACATCGTGTTTTTGGCACAAGTATGGAATTTTCAGCATTTGATATCGGTAGCCCAAATTCAGCAGACCGACCATTGATATCAGGTGTGCGTCGGCAGGGGATCGAACCCCGGACCATGTACATGGTTAGCGACAGTCCTAACAACTGTGCCACCAACGCACTTGGCAGTTCAAGTCGCCACACTCCATGTAGCACACAAAGCAAGAGAAGAAAGTAGAAGAAACGCAAAATAGAGACAGTAAATAGAGGTGTGAGACAAAAGGAATAGTAATAACGAAGAACAATATAGTCTCATTGGAAATCATAAGTGACAAGGAGTGGATGCATCTGCGTCAGCCATTGAGAAAGATTTTGAGCCATATCACCAATTATCTCTAGCCTTCATTGGTTTTTACCATCCCGAGGACCCCAACCAGTCAGGAAGTCTACACCTATCTACATGACTGGCTAACTTAAACTGTGGTGGATTTCCTTGACTTATGCCATGTTTTGGTTTGACCACCTGAACCTATGTAGGCTAACATTGCCCATGGAGGAAGGCGATCAATGTCTAGGCATGCGTAACACATGTCCTAACCATCTCAGTTAATCGATGTAATTTCATAGCCTCGTTGATTAATTTTCCCTCCCACTTACCTAGCACTCGACCGATGCCTAACCTCAATATTGCTCATCCTATTATACCATCACTTAACACGGGAGATAAAACGCAGGCACTTATCACCAAAGACAGCTAACCAGGCTTTTCACGTCTTCCACTCTCAATGACCACGTCTCACTAACAGCCATAAAGGAGGACGGGGTGGACTGCTGAGCAGTACACCCGCCCTTTCGTCGATAGCCACTCGGATATCACGTCTACGCCAGAGACGGAGTAAACTGGCATATGCAAAACTAACCCTCTGTAGATAGAAAGCATAGGAAACACAATTCCAAGGATAATGCAAGTAGACGAATTATTCAATGTTAAACGGGCAACTACTTATAGAATAATTAAACAAGAGGTGGGGTAGAGTTCAAATTTCACTTGGAAACAAAGATGGACTAGGGACAAAATACAAGAGAGAACAAGAGAGTGAATTTATACATACTATGATAGAGAGTTCAAAAGAGTAGGAGTGAATAGTAAACCAAAATTATAACATAGACAAAACAATTAAGTATCTTTGGAAACTTAATAGTGAGTTCAACTCAACTCAGCAAGTCAAAATCAAATCAAAATTAAGTGCTGTAATGTTATGCAAGAGAACAAAACACAAAGGCACACATAAACAAAACAATTACGGTTATCAGGGTAGTGAGAGATTAGTCACACTATCCTTCTCTATACATAAGTTAGGTTGAAATCTTTTGATGGCAATGGCTTCTGTGAACAGAAGTAATTATGCCTTTCTTTGTGTAATGATTATTTTGGAAGCCTGACTAATTTCCATCCTGTGTACCGTGTCAATTTGGGTGTATGGCAATTGCACTTGAGAATAATTTGCTAGCTTTCAAACGGAGACTTTTAGGGATATTACGTAGAAAATCTAGTAGACGCTCTCCTCTCTCAGTCCGTCCTACATACTTGCTACCATAAGTGCAGGTGAATCGAAGAAAATTTTACTTTTAGACGAAGTCATCAACTAGACAACTGAACATTTGTGTATTTAGAGTAAATAGGTGAGAAGATGCCAGAACGATTTCCGGTTGGTCAAGGATCAAATTAATAAAATTGCAAAGTTTAGTAAACAGAACTATCGGATAAAACTCAAACAAAGTAGAATTATAATTACTGAGAAGATTCACTTTTTATGGAATTAGGGATATGAAAATGTAATAATAACAAAATAGACAAGAAGTTCGGATAAAAAAAAATGAAAAATAACATACAAATAGGAAGATTAGATAAGCAAGGTGTAATTGACTTTTCATGATGGTCATGGAGGTGGAGACAAAGGTTTGACGTATTTCATTTAAATATACATACTGTGCGCTTGAACCTTTAGATGGCTGGTATCCAGCCAGATGCCTTCCATTCATTGCCTTTCAGAGATTTAATCGACACTTGTGTATGACTTTCTTCAAATGTAAGGTGATGCTCAAAGACTGGACTACATTAAATCCTAGTTTAAAGATAAGAAGCGAGTGAATTGGTGGAGAGTGTTGACCATTTTATTCATCTGGGAAATTGCATCAACCCCAACGGGTTGACAGCTGACGAAACTCGGCAGGGATACGGAAGGTTTGTCTGGCATATGCCAGTTTACGCCATCACTGGGGTAGACATGATATCCAGCCGGCTGTCAACGAAAGGACGTGTATACTGCGCAAGAGCAATCCGCTCCGTCCTCCTTTATGGCTGTGAGTGAGACACGGTCATTGAAAGCGAAAGACATGAAAAACCTGGCTAACTGTCTTTGATCATAGGTATCTGCGTACTATCTCCCATGTTAAAGTGGTATAATAAGGTGAACAATATTGAGGTGTGGCATCGGTTGAGTGGTAGGTAAGAGGGAGATGAAATCAATCGACGAGGTTGTGAAACTGCATCGATTGAGATGGTTAGGACATGTGTTGTGTTACGCATTCCTAGCCATCGTTTTCCTCGACAGGAAATATTAGCTAATGATATAAGATGGATCAGGTTGGGAAAGACGAAACAAAACATGGCTTCATCAGTCTACGAAATCCACAACAGTTAGTTTAAGTCAAGTAAGCATGTGTAGGCTTCTTGACTGGTTGGGGTCCTCGGGATGGAAAAAACCAGTGAAGGATGGTGACAATTGGTGATGTGGCTGGAAATCGTTGTCGACGCCTAGCGCAGAAGGATTCATTCTTTGTGATTTATCATATCCAATAAAATTCTATTGTTCTTCCATGTTACTATTCTCTTTATCTCATATTTCTGTTTATTATCTCTCGCTTTACTCCCTTCTCTTGCTTTTTGTGCTACATGGAGAGTATGCACATCTGTGCAAAGTTCTGCGTTGAAACCAGTCGGTCAGTCAGTACATAGCTTTGAAAGACTTTTCAAACATGGAGCTGAATACTCTAAGTTCAACAGATATATTCTATTACAGTCTATGTAGGTTTTTCTGAATAGAAAGGCTAACAATAACAGCACTCACACACACTAGGTGTATCAACCAACCATACGACCTGATATTTGACATACCTACCTTTTACTTGTATTTGGCGTATTCGTTACAAACTGGAGACATAAGAGAGTGCAGAGTAGAACACACAATGTATATGATGACAAGTGCCGAAAATTAGGAACTGATGTGAAAAATAAACCTTGGGAATTATGGTAAAGCTTAATGAACTTTATATACAATACTACATCCGTGGTGTGGTACATCAAGTAAAATTAGTACAATTACGTAACAGGAATCTGCATTTAAGGTTCTGATTTAAGTCGCCATGTGCAGAAGATACTATTACGATACAATTCAACAATTTTTTGGTTGTGTGTGCGACAACTACATGCATATGATGTAACTATGTCGCCGAAAACAGTCATCATTGTAGTGAAGTTGTACAGTCGTCTTTCATATTGTGTTCAGTAACTAACTTAATGACTTACTTTACTACTCTCTAACTAGATTGTTCAATGTGAAATCAAATGCAGAAATGAGAGGGACTAGGGTATATATACTAACACAACAATCTAATTATTAGATAACATGGTTTCATAGTCCACAACCGGGGATCCTACACATTCAGAAACCGACTGTGTGACTGCTCAACTGACTGACTGACCAGTTTCAATACTGAACTTTGCAAACAGGTGAACCAGTTGCAGTTTCAACATCCCATGTTACACACAAATGTAGAGAAGACAAAGGGGAACTGTAATAAGCATAAATGCGGGGGAGAAAGAACAGCAACATAGAAAAACAATAGAGTTATTTTGGATATGGCAAATCATCGAGACGGAATGTATTCGAGCTATTCAGAAAGAATTCGAATTATATATCACTAATTGTCTCCAGGCATCATTGGCTCCTACCATGTTAAGGACCCCAACCGGCCCAGTAGTTTACACTTCCCTACGTGATTGGCTGACTTAGACTGTTGTGGATTTCCTTGACTTATGTCGCCATCTTTTCGTTTGACTACCACTAGCCCTTTTCCAACCTGATCCATCTTATCTCAGCGGCTAACACTGCCCGTCGAGGGAGACGATAGCTAGGCATACGCAACACATGTCCTAACCATCTCAATCGATGCAGTTTCACAACCTCGTCGATTGATTTCATCTCCCTCTTACCTACCACTCAACCGATGCCACACCTCAATATTGTTCACCTTATTATACCACTTTAACATGGGAGATAGTACGCAGATACCTATGATCAAAGACAGTTAGCCAGGTTTTTCATGTCTTTCGCTTTCAATGAGCGTGTCTCACTCACAGCCATAAAGGAGGACGGAGGGGGCTGCTGTTGGGCAGTACACAGGTTCTTTGATCGATAGTCACACCCTACCACTTTTCATTCCCTATCTTTAAGGTAGCAGTGTGGTGAGAGCTGTCTACTAGCCAAATTGGTAGACAGTAATTTACGTCAATGTTTACGTTCTCAAGATTGGTCGTGAGAAAATATAACCAAGACTGATTCAAAAACCGACCACAGCAGACTTTGCGTAGGCGGATACAGTTAACATATAGATGATCTGACATTCAAGAAACAGTCACAAAGAGATGAAAGATTAACTTTAAGTGAGGAACAACCAATCAGAAGACTGTTTGTTTGCTTAACTAATCTATAATAATGTACATGAAAATATATAAATATGCTTTGATTTCCTTAATAAACGATCTGTTGCCTGGCCCTTGTCTTCTGCTGTTACAGCAGTAGTTTCAAAAGCAGTTACCGATGATTGCACGGCTAGTCCTATATCTCCGTCCACGGTCAACCACTTATCTTTTTTAAGATGCAGTTTTATCATGAGTAACGTGCGAAAAATTCTGACACATGACAAAGTGAAATGAGAAAATAGATGTATTACGGCGATTCAAATAGAGGGAATTTCACACTCTCCAGTGTCAGTTTGCAGAGATTTAACTCCTTTTAAGTTGAATCACGGATTGACATCAATTACACACACCACTGAAAACCAGAGAGTACCTAGACAATTGTTTCGTCCTAATTTTCGACTCTTCAACAGTATGTACCGATGACCACGGTTGGGGTCGAACCCAGCACCTTCAGGCTGCGAGGTCAGTCTGTAGATTGCTGTTCATGAATCTAAGAACAAAAAGTTCGGTGAAGAGTCTCTTCTCGGCGAATTCATTCACTTAGCTGTACAATCCCATTTATATATAATTACGTTGTGTGCGTGTGTGTGTACATTAGGATTGTCAAACAAAAATAAAAAATAGTTAGGGCCATTGTTGTTTACGTCATCGAAATATTTCAAAAGTGTGATGAATGATCAAACTGTAACTAAGAGGAGGGTGAAGATTGGTGAATACTGGCAAGGGTTGCGTAATATGAAGGACACTCAGAAGAAACAGGATATTAATGAAAGAGCATGGAGACACGTGTCCCAAACAAATTACGTAATAGGTAGAAAAAGTAAACAGTGGGTTGGTTAAGAAAATAATGTAATTAAAAAGTCATAAAAAGAATTCAAAAAAGTATTATTAACAAAGTACCAGAACTTGGAAATATACCCAAGGTAGTAAAGAGGAGGTGGAGAAGTTTCTTCTGTGTGAATAAATCAGGGTTTTCTACCCAAATCGCTAATGGCCTTCTCGGCCAAGTTAAACTTTGAGCACCACTAACTACCAATGGAGTGTGACCGCACCAATGACCTTGAAACGCCCACTGAACAAATTAGTGAAACCTGGCAAATAATGTTGTCATCATCAATAAAATATGCTCATCGAAGTGTCATGTTATAAAGTGGGATATCTGGCAAGTTTCAGCTTAGGTTTGGGAAGGAATAATTTACCCTTTAAGCCAAGGACAAGTTAAGGCTAGGTTAACCTAATAAGGGAGGCATTAGGGTTGGTTCGAGTTAGATTACAGTTAGTTTAGGGATATTTTCATTTTGGGGTTAGGTTCAAGAAAGATTAGGGTTCTTGTTAAGGTTAGAAGACCTAAATAATTACATGCATAGAATGTGGTTAAATTACTCTGTTGATAAAAGAATAGTACTTGTGCACTGTGGTAGAATATAATTCTGTTGAGGGTAAAATTTATTTTGATGAAGTCTCACAGTGTTATACAGTAATATTTACTGATGACCACATTAGGAGCACAATTTATTGCTCAGTAAATATTACTGCATAACACTGAAACTTTATCAAAACAAATTTCACTCAAAATGGAATTATACTCTCTTGATGCTTCAACCTAAAACTGAGAGCTCTTTTTATCACATGTGAGAGGAAGGTATCCTCTGTAACACTTTTCTACAGTTTTTTATGCATTATTTCATAAATATATACATTTCATACACAAAAATGCTTACTTCACGTGCGTTCGAGGTCATTCGCTGATTGGTGGTAGTTAGTGGTGCTTAAAGTTTAACTTTGCCGCCTCTTCGGTAATGCGAAGTATACGGAAGCTTACAGTTTTCAAAGGGAGGCTTCCTTCGACTTTGTAGATGACTTTGAATGAATTCATCTTACATACTGAGTGACCAGTGTTGAATATATGTTTAATAACAGCACTTTATCGACCCATTGTTACCTATTCGTAGCCAAGCAGGATAATCTTTTTTGACTCTTTTAGATAAAACACGCATCGAACGACCCATATGTATTTCGTTCCATATGAACAAGTAAATCGGTAGAACCACAGATTGTTGTCTAGCCACTGAAATAGAACCAGATTACTCATAAATCCTAATTCCCTTCAATTCGCGATATATAGCGCCACCTCCCCAACCAATGTCATCGGTGGGTATTTGTCACCACATCTGAACTGGTAGGACCCATTGGTCACAATTTCTTAATAGAACTCCAGGCAAATTTATACTATAGTCATTCACCAGGAAGCATCAGGTCAATTTTTAAATGTTAACTGCGCTACAGATCGCAAGGGCGAACACTTCAAAGACGCTGAACGCATACGATTTGTTGAATACCGAGACCTACCGTTATTATATTGCCACTATGAATACTGAGCACAAATTGAGATGAAAATTTCATCTCAACCTCATTTCTAAGTACCGTTCAAGTTAGGATTAGGCTCAGGATTAGGATCATAAGTAAAGTTACGATTAGGGTTGCATCTCTCTCTCTTTACTGTTTGACTTCGTCATCTCAAATAGATAGAAGTTATAATTCATGGGCCTTTGGACTCCAGTACCAGTGACTTTGTGGTCAACAGGCTGGTCTTGAAACCTTGAGGTCCTGGGTTCGATCTCTTCCAGTGAGCGAGCTCATGGAAGAGTACTGCTGAAGATTCCCAGAGTAGGATCAAAAAGCGCTCCAGTACTCTCTGGTATTCATTTGTTTTCACAAACTGCTGTTAATCTATCACCTTACTAAGAAATTATAAAACCCTAAAGAAAAGAAGTCATCTTTTTTTTTTGAGCATAATTTTACTTGTTACCTCAATCGGCTAAAAACAACAAGCATTTCTGTAAAGAAAAGAAGAGAAGACAAATAACCCACCTGAGTATTTTCTTCAGCTCCACCGACTAGATTAAATCCAAAACCAGTTGATTGTCGTTTCAAGTGAACAAGAAACTCTCCAGGAAGCATACACAATGGTGCTGGTGTTGATGCTTCTGTTGTCGCTGATGGCAGAGTAGTAGCACCATTATTAGGTCTACTATTGACAGTTGACTGGGAATGACGTAAGGGGAGCATACGACCAGGTCTAAGTAATGAGCCGTATGTGACTGATGAATTCGGTGACCCAGAGGGGAAGGTATCCTTATTCATACCGACAACTGGAAAAGAAATAGAGTTAAAGCATATATTTATATATATTTGAAAACATTGTACAAACTAGCAATTTGTAATATACACAATTCCATGGGTGAATTTTTTACCAAAGTTTCTCTTGAGAACTGCGTTATTCAGGTTACAATACATTTGCTACTTTGAATAGTAATCAAGCAGGCGAGCATATTTATTATTATTTCCTTGAGTTCCGAGTGGGACATAGGGATTCACAACAACACGTCTTCACTTTCTTCTATTTTGTGCTGTCCTCCTCAACTGGATCCGTGATTACCCATAACCTCTCGTCTCCTCCTCCTCCTCACACCATCTCCTCTAGGTCACTCCACCCTCACACCGACCACCCACTCGTCACCACTTCCTAATCGGACTCCAATCTAGAAATGGCCTGCAGTGCACGCTGTATCATACGGTGGCCTCCTCAACGCATGCCCAATCCATCTCCACTTTCTCCTAGTTGGTTCGCTGCCTACCAGAATTTCTTGTTGCTAATTCTTTCTGGTCGGCTGGCTGACTGGCCATTTGATTTTTCAGTATGAAGGCAGTAATAGGGGCAGCTGTTGATAAAAGTCTCCAGTAACGTGTTGTAAATGTTTCCGTAACACGCCAACCAAGTATCTGACCCGTATAGAAGAACTGACTAACGTCACATTTGTGTTGAACATTCGAATCTTGTTCTTTATTCTGGTTGAGTGACAGCAGAAGATTTCCAAACTGGTCTCAGGTCGATGAAAGCGTATCTCGCCTTCCGGATTCTGGTTAGATGTGACAACTTCAACCGTCCCAGCCATCTGTGGTTGAAACGATGCTGGCTTCCTAGATAAGTGAAGGAAGTAACCTCCGTCAAATCTCTCCCGTTGATAGTGATTGTTGCTGGTTGTTGTTGTTGCTGTTGGTTGGTTACCTTCATCACTGATCGAGGTGATCTGGATTGTTAACTCATTTGCAAATTAATAATCTGATTTATTTTGGAATAGAGTTTGATGATGTAAACAATAACCCCAACTAACATTTTATTCTCTGCATAAAACTATATACTACTGATAAATTGAAATAAGTAGTCGCATACCACTCATATCTACCAGTAGTGTTTGCTTGCTAGCCCGATCGAGGCGTTAAGACGGCCGTTTCGCATGTTTGGCGGCGGGCTCATCAGTGATGTACCCAGTTTGACTATGTTCAGAGAGTAGAATCAGTTCAACACAACCTGATTTTTGGCATCAGTGGCATACAACTACTCATCTCAGGCAGCCAGCAATATATAGTTTCGTGCAAATATGCTTCATGACCAATTAAGGTACCAAGCAGATCACATATTATGGTGATCTGCATAACTTGGTTTCCAAAGGGTGGAAAACAACGGTAGAATATCATCCCTCGAAATGTGCACATTGCATATTGCTGACTAATTTGTAGATCGTTAATTTAATTTAACAGTAACTGGATTTTTGTAAAGCAAGAACAACACACGTGCGTTGGTGGCACAGCGGCAGAGTGCTCGCCGACCACGCCACATGTGGTCCGAGGTTCGATCCCCAGACACAGACTCACTCCTTTACCTCACTCACTAAGCCAGTAGAAAGACTGGTAAAAAGGGAAGGTTAGGCTGGGTATGAGGCTGGCTCACAACCCCATCCTGTAAAAATAACCATCACCGCTACAGAAACTTCAATCCTCCAGCTTGAATCAGCCCTATGTTCCAATGGGAACGCTAAGGAATAAGAAAAAAGAACAATATACAACCGGGGGATGTATTTACCAACTGAAGACATTGACAAACCATAGAGTACAGTTATTACTCCCTGTATTGGGTGATGATGAAAATCAGTAGAGCCAAGAATGAGTATTTCATATTTTTTTATTTTTTTATTACAGCTTGATGCCACACCGTATTTTCAGTACAAGTATGGCATTTTCAGCATGGATATCGGTAGCCCAAATTTTGCAGGCCGATCATAGATATCGGGTGTGCGTCGGCAGGGAATCGAACCCCGGACAATGTGCATGGTCGGTGAGAGTCCTAACCACTTTTTTCGGCTTCATCGCAGCTGGATATACTTGCATTGCCAGTAAGTGAGGATGCATCACCTGGGACCTAAACCCTACATTTACCTTCAAGTGTTGGTTTGTGGGGATTTGATTGGTCACAGGATTTTCAGCATTAGGTGACATTAGTTAGAGAACCATTGGAAAACCTAGGAGTACTGGACAGCTGTTTCGTCCTAGTTTCGGGCTTTTCAGCAGTACGTACCCACCGGGGTTCGAACCCAGGACCTTCTGGTTAGCTCATGATGAAATCCTGTAACCGATCAAATTCCTACAAACCAACACTTGAATATCAATGAGATGCTCACTAGCAACTTGCCCTATTCAGGTAGGTAGTTACCTGGGGTTCTAGTGAGAAGTCGTGACCAGTAGGGTGCAGCAGGTTGGGCGTGAGGACAAATACTCGCCGAAGACATTGGCTAGGGGTCGCGCTATATCGTGAATTGGCAGAAGTTAGAATTCATGGACCATTGGATCGGGTCCCAGTGGCTTAATGGTATACGAGCTCGCCTTGTAACCAGAAGGTCCTGGGTTCGAATCCCGGTGGGTGCGTACTGATGGAGAGTCCCAAACTAGGACGAAACAGCTGTCCAGAACTCCCAGGTTTTCCAATGGTTCTCTAACTAATGTCACCTCATGATGAAAATCCTGTAACCTACATTTATCTTTTAAACAACAAAACATTATCCAACACATAAGGATAAAACTTAGGTATTGTTGTAGAGCATAATTCCATTATGGGAAAAATTTTATTTGATAAAGTCTCAGTGTTTTACAGCAAGTAATATTTACTGACGACAACGTTTCTAGCACAAACTATCACTGCTCATAATCATATCAAGTCACTCGCACAACTTTCTTGCTTCATTTATATACATGAGTGGAATTGATGATTAGATATTTGAATGAAAATCAATATAGGATAATGTACATTCGGAAATAATAATGTGAGTGTTAATGATCAAATACAATCAGATGGGAAATAAGATGAGTGTTCTTTTAGTCAAAATAAGTAACCTGTTATAATGTTATAATGTACGTGAATTGAAACAGGATTATAAGATTATTTATTATCCTCCTCTGATTTCATTGACTGACTGGTGGTAATAATATCTTCCATGCATATCTCTGGTATTTGCATTGAGTCATTTCTGTTGCATGTGTTGTGTTGGGTGTAGACTCGATGGACCAGGATTCAGTAATCAATGTCTCTCTATCTCCACCTACCTATATTATTTTTCGGAATTCCGACTCTGTCCCACCCAACATATTGTGTGGTTGTGTGTTAATGAATGCAGTGCGATCGTGGGATCAACCATTCTAACCTTGGCTAAATTCTTATGTTCTGATAAGCAATCTCACTACTCTTGATCCACTACTAGTTTGACCTCAAAGTCATTGCAATGTACTTTATAAATAAAATTATTTTGTTTAATTACGTCCACCGAGTTCGCTAGCCTACAGAGCTTGTCCTACCTGAGTGAGTTTGGTAGGTTTCAATGCCACCACTCTAATTCCTGCTTTATTAATCCATAATGGAATTAGGCAACATAATCAACCAACGGGAAACGCAGAATTAACCCAAAAGAAACTGATAAGTAGTTAGTCTAACCAACCAACCAACCAGTCAGTCGGCTATGTAGAAATCTATCGCTTACACAACTACACTAGAGTCTAAACACATCTAGGCAAACTTAATCTTTATAATCTTTGTGTGTATTGTCACATAACATGAAAGCGTATACATACAGTTAGTTACATGTATACACTTATAATAAAAGGATACTTAAGTAGAAAAAAGCAGTCTTGCGTGATATAAAAGCATTTCCCTGTAATTTCTGCTTACATTGATATTTCTGTAGATGTGGAGCGGGAAAAAAAACACCCACCCTATAAAGAATATTATATAACATCTGCTTCTTGAAGTTGTGACAAGTTATGTGTATATAAATCGGGTTTATGCTACAGAGTCTTTTCTTATTCGCAAGAAAAAGCAGAATTGCAAGACGTTATGTTACTATTCTAGGTATCGAAAAGAAAACTGTCTTTAAGAGGTTTCATGAAAACAAAACGCGTTGTTCAACAATATGCGTCTTCTCGACCAAGTCATTTTCCTCTTTAGCTATAACAATCACATTTATATACAATGTTGCTTTTCAGGAAAGAGTAACAAAAGTGATGAGTTGCCATAATCATTTAGTTTCATTATCCCCTGTTCTATTTTCTCCTGCCCTCTTCAGCTGGTTAACCCCACGATTGCCCATAATCTCTCATCTCCTCCTCCTCCTCCTCGCCACACGATCTCCTCCATGTCACCTTCTCATCAACGACCCACTACTCGTCTCCGCTTCTCATTGGGATTCCATTCGAGTGATGACCTGTAGTGCACGCGATGTCATTAGACGGTCTCCTCAACGTATGGCCAATGCATCTCCATTTTCTCTTACATATTTGTTCAGCAATCGACTCCTGGTTGGTTCGCTATCTGCCAGAGTTTCTTGTTGCTAATTCTTTCTGGCTGGCTGGCTGGCTGACTGGCCATTGAATATTCAGTATAGAGAGCCAGCAAATGGCAAAGTTGTTGATAAAAGTTTGCAGTGGCCTGTTGGAAATCCTCTTCGTGACACGCAGTGCAACTTTCTGAGCCGTATAGAAGAACTGACTGATTAACTGGACATATGTGTTGAAAATCCGAATCTTGTTCCTTATGCTGAGTGCGGAAGGCGTATCTTGCCTTTTCGATTCTGGCTGGCTGACTGGCTGGCTGTTGACAAAACTCTGCAGTGGCCTGTTCCGGTTCCTCCAACTGAACGGGTAAAACTTCACAGATGCAAAGGAGACGAAAGCATGTTTTCTTCGACAAGTATTTTTTTTAATTTTTGATTACAGCTTGACTCCACACAGTACTTTTTTTGGTAGAAGTATGGAATTTTCAGCATGG